TATAATGTTTAATAAATAAATTTAATATAACGTTTAATCATTAATCATTTAATAACAAATAAAAAAATTTCTTAATCATAAGTAATTTTTTTTATTCTCACTCGAATTCCAAGCCCTTCACTATCATCCTAAATCCACCACCATCCTGAATCCTCTGTCGCTGACCTGTCATTTCTAACTAAAGTCGATGAAAAGAGCTACGGGAATTGTGTATATGTGTGCCGCCCGTGTCAAATAGAAGAGACAGTAGTAAAGAGCATTGTAGTATAGGTGCTTTTAAAAAATATTCACTTCATATTTTATACAATAGCACTTTAAGGGTACTAAACCCAGGGCATAACACATTGCGGGGGGACACAGTTGTGATCAAAATGCCAACACGTTGTGGGGGCACGCACCTGTGCTCAAATCATTATCCCATTGCTGGAGTATGCAACCGTCTTCCAAATCTCTGACACATTGTGAGGGTACACAGCCGTGCGCATACAACATGTTGTGGGGAATGCATAGCCATGTTCACTCAAAGAAAATACCACTGATCCATTGTTCCGCTAGCATTAGTTATGTAAGTGAAACGAAAATCAGTGGGTTGAAAATAAACTCAGAAAACACTATAATTTCAAAACTCAAACACAGAACCTTGTCTTCCTAGGATATCCCCATATGCATATTATAGCCTTCCGCCTGTGCCCAACCTTTTAGCTACGGTGCGGGAAGTTCACAGCCATGTCCAAACTGTTGTAAATACCCAGCTGTGCTCATTGTTTAACCCAGACTCCAGCATTATGAATGAAAAACGAGAAATCGGTAAGTTGAAAATAAACTTTTCGACAAAGAAAACCAAAATAATATATTAGTCAGGAAAACATGGCACATTACCTTTCAAGTATACCCTATATCCCATACCCAAAAATTCCTCACGTGCGAGGAATACACAGCTGTGTCTACGATCATTAGCATGTTGTGGGGAGTATGTAGTCATATTGCAAAAACACACATGATCTAACCACTAGTCTGTTTTAGGGAGTACTCAGCCGACCATGCTTGCATTGCTTTCTTATATTCTCCACACTCCACACTAAATGCTTCATGTAAATTATCGGTCTTGACTAATTGCTGATAATATTCTAATGCTATATTCTTATCGTTTTGATTGATTCATAGCTGACATTATGTTCCGTACACACTACCTCCATCTTGATAACAACCTCCCAGGCCATCCTGTTTGTTAGGATTTCTGACTTTAACATCTCAGGTACTCAAATGCTTTATCTTCTGCAACTCTAATTCCAATCCTAATAACGACATCCCAAGTTACTCTTTTCACTCTCAGCAACTCATGGTTCCAATTCCATCTCAATTATCCAAATTACTCTGAGTTTCCCAACTCCTCCATCAACAGCAATAAGTTTCGAAAAACTTATCAGCGTACCTCATCTTAACTAATTTTGAATATGTTAAAGTGCTTTATATTCATCTTATTTAACCTAGGGTGTACAACCGTCTTGCATAAGTCAAATGCATGGTTCCAGGTTCAAGGTATTAGAAACTGTATTCACATCCTTCAATCAATGCATCCGATGCCAATAGGATGCCGTCCAGTGATATCATCACACTCAGTAAGAATATCTTTCAAAGGTGTGAATGCTTTCCAATGTCTCAATGCTATACAGATAGCTTCTGTTACTAGTAGTTGAATATCACAACCATGCTTTTTGAAATTTAGTGTTTATTTTTTATGTTAATATTAGAATAGAACACCTCCAGCCTTTCGTTCACTCTTCACACCTTCATGTCCTAAACGCTAGCATATTGCGAATTTTCTGTATCCACAATGCATAAACTCTCCATTCCACGAACCAATTCACTCCTGTACCTATTTGATGACTTGTAGTATAACATGTAATGTGAAGTCGTGTACAAATAATGTGTGTTATTATATGTATCCCTTTTCTACCTATATCCAAACAAGAACACCTCGACATGTGGGTAGAAGAGATTCAAATAAGCCGAAAACTGCAGTTTCAGACAAACATAGCAGCAGAAACAAAACACAAAGGTCACAGGCTTTAGATTTAAAAACTCTATATAGTTACTATGCATAACTTTTAATATAAGGGGGATTATATAGAGATACCTTTTTACAGTCACACTTTTATACAATCACCAATTTTAGTGGAACCGAAGTGGTGACTATATGGAGGTCTGACTGTATTCCTAGAAAAATTCGATGTAAAACATCTTTTCTTGACACTTTATCATCTATAAATCAATGGTTTGGTAAAAAGATATAATTAAATTTTATGTAAAACAATTGCAAAATTAGTAATCAGAGCAATTGATAAAACACAATGATATCTTCTATCCTGTTTGCTTATTGAACTATGAAACAAGCAACTACTAAGCTAACACTTTTTTATCTCATATATGGACAAAAAGTCTGATTATCTATTTAAAAGGAAATACACTTGGAGGAAATTATATTATACTAATTATTTCATCTAATTTGTATTATGTCACATGAAAGGGCTGTCACTATTCAATGTGTTTGCCAATTACAATAACAAACAAAACAATAAAATCAACAGTAAGACTTACGACATGATTTGTTTATAGACAATAAAGTATTAATATACCATGTTACACTAGAATATTTAAAAAGCTACAAGCTAGAACCAAAATGGTACGGTTCCTACTTGATACACAATACACAACCTTGAGAAACCTATCAAATTCAAACTTTAGATGGCAAAGTCATAAAAATACCTCTAAATTGAAATCTACTAAAAAAGTATTATAAGCAATCTATACCACAATAAAAAAATTATGAGAATAGTAAGAAACAAGTATAAGAAGAATGAATGAAGTAAAATGAAATCTATAATGGCTTCTGATATTACTCATATTATTTATGATCTTCTAAAAACTCAATCTGAGATGGTACAAGTTATATCCTCTATCATTAGAAGACCAATTAAGTATACAAGAATGAATATATAGTATGTATTAACAATTATATTGGTTATAGCATATACAACAATATATCTAGTTATTGTTATATGCCTAATATCTCAGAATGCTGCTTATTTAACAAGAAAGAGTTTTTTTTATTTTGAAACACTACTATAGCATATCAACTTGCATATATACTCTATTTAGTGGATATGGTATTGGGTAATTATTTTTGAAGGTGACAAAAATATTAGATATGATTTTTTCAGACCCAACTTTTAAACAATACATATATAATATAAATTTTAGAATCATGCCAGAAAATTTCCGGTTCACCTTTGAAAATAATTATCTTATTACACAAATTTATCATACTATTTATCTTAATCTAAATATAATCTGATAACTAAAAAAGAAAAAATTTTGTAGATAAGTATTGGTTAACTCATAGAACTTGCAGTTAAGCTGGAGAAATTATAAGAAAGACAAAAAAATTAGATAAATTTGACATATGTTATCCTTGTCCAATTAGGATTTAATTGGAGCTTGAGAGATTTTTGGAATTTTTGAGATTTTCTAACATATATATATAAAGAGAAATGTATAAGAGACAAAGCAACAATAAAAACTGTTCTTTTACTATAAAACTCGGATTACTATCTAATACTTTAACTTATCCTGTGCCATATCTTTACACCTTTTTCAACATTACACAATTAGTAATTATAACATAGTAACAAACTTGTCATTACAAACCTTTAACAATATGTAAAATTGATTTAATCAATAAACTTCTTTATTAACAAGTTTATTTTCTTTTATTAACTTGGATTATATTTTCTTATAGTAGTAATTATTCTTTTTTAAATAATATATACTTTAAAAAATAAGTTTATTAATTAAAATATTTCTTTTATAATATTTTAATTTCATTAATTACTTCTTTTATAAATATAGTTTTTTAATTATTATTATTATTTTTTTCTTTTATTATATTATTTATTATTATAATACTAGAAAAACAATTAAAAAAAAATAGGTTATTAAAACCAAAACAAACTATTAAACAAGTTATTTAAGCTTCTATAATTATATTTTTTATACTTGTTGTTAACAATACTTTGTATTTATAGAATATATAACTCTATCCTATAATTTTTACTGGAATAATAATTTTAAAAACAATATATAAATTTATAATAATAGGTATTCAGTTTGAAATTATAATATTTGTTATCCAATATTTTATTAAAATATACAGTATTTAAAAATAATAAATATAGTGGATAGTTTTACAATAGTAAAAATTTTATAAATTTATTAATTAATAGAAATAAATTTAAGTTGTTACAATTTATATAAAAAGTATTTAAAAAATTAATGATTAAAAATTTTAATTGATAATACAATATGAATAATATAAAGTTATTCTGCTTAAAGAATTAAAATAAATTTTAATTATATTAATAGGTAAGTAATTTTATTATTCTTATAAATTATATTTAAAGGTCTTATATTATTAATGAATGAGTTGAATAAAGGAGGGTTATATGATAAATTTATTTCTTGTATTTGTAATAATTTACTATAATTTAAAAAACCTATATTTCTAATCTAATTGCAGGTAAATAAATATATACAGTCTGGTTCAAAAAAAACCAGAATTGGATTTTTCTTATAATTTAATAAATAATAATTTAAATTAAATAAAACTTCTAATATATATTATTTATATTAAAAGAAAT